TGAAAGTGTGAGGGCTACAAAGGAACAGACAGCTATCTGTAGTCCAGCTTGTAAGCAAATGATTCAAAAATGCCCACAGCAAAGGAAATCACACCAAATCAGCCAAGATTGCAGCGATGTTCCCCAGAAAGACAGTAGGAGCAAACAAATTCTACCCCGATTCTTAGGTATATAGCACCTCCAGCCAGCAGATGGCATCATTCTGTTCTTTTACTGCTTAGACAGAAGGATACTAATAGAAGCAATGAGTGAATACATTGGATTACCGTTGCATATGAGGCTCTGTTGAATACTAAGGCCTTGCATGGTTGATTCACTGAGATCCACGGTTTTCAGGAGGGACACGTTCACTATAACTTGGTGTACTATGATGGCATTCTGCTAACAGCCACCAGTGAATAATAATAAATAAATAAATTTTTATTTATATCCCGCCCTCCCCAGCCAAAGCTGCGCTCAGAGCGGCTAACAACAGTAAAAATAACACAGTTTACATAAAATCACAATCAATTAATTGAAATACATTCTAAAATCAATTCTCAAATCAATTCAGAGTCAAATTAATGGCAACGATTGGGCTAGAGTTCCATGAGGATTACAGAAGGAGGGGGTCAGACTGTGCCTTGGCCAAAGGCCTGGTGGAACAGCTCTGTCTTGCAAGAAAAATATCAAGTCCCGCAGGGCCCTAGTTTCTTGTGACAGAGCGTTCCACCAGATCGGGGCCATGGCCGAAAAAGCCCTGGCTCTGGTTGAGGAACATTGTTTGTGTATATGGGACAGGGATAGCTCCTGCCTCCAAGGAGTCTATAGTCTACATTTTGGCAGTGGATAAGGCAACACTGAGAAGAGAGAGGAGGAAGACACAAAAGAGGAATTCACAAGTGCCCTCCACCTCTCCATTGCATGTGTCAAGGGTGTGGGGGGTGACAGTACCCCACATGCCCATGAGTTCTTCTTCCACATGATCAGGAAAGCTGCATGTTTGGGGCTCCCAGTTTGCATAGCGGAAACTAGAGCTTCTATGAGTACTGGCTTGCTGTCCAGACCTTGGGCCAAACACTCAGAAGGCATTCAGTTTTGCTAGCATGCTCCCCTTCCACATGTTTGTAAAATGAGTTCAGGCATTTCTGAATGGCCCTAAGGTGGGATAACCAAATACTTTGGTTATTGTTTGTGTATATAGGTTAAGGGCTGAGCCAAAAGCTTCACAGAGAAGAGATGTTTACAGGAGAGTTAGTGCACTGTTCTGGGCAGATATGCTTACTGGTCGAAACTGTTATGTACTGAAGTTCTCACCTTGGGCCAGCAGGGGGATACTGTAGATAGTTCAGGTCCACATATGCAAATAAGGGATCGAAAGTGACGTTCAGTGATTGGATAGTTACAGAAAGTTGTTACAGTTATGTTGTACTGGAGCTCTATATAAGCAGGCTGGCTGAAGCCTTCAGTTCAGTTCTATTCTGACCTGTGAATAAACAAGAGCTGTTTGGAGAATCGCTGTGTTGTCTGATATGTTCACTCACAACTTAACAGAAACAACCTCTAGCCATCTCTCACACAGACACATTCAGGGAAAGAGAGGCATACCAAACCTCTTGTCTGCCTTTCTTTACTACTTTCTGAAATAGAGATCTGTAAAACTACGGCGAGCTGCAATTACTTTATATTGGCTGATTGCTTCCAGAGTCAAATACAGGCAGCTACTCTAATGTGGTAAGTCAATCTGTTTTAGCTGCTAGGAAGTCCAAAAGCAATCCATTATGGCTATTGATGCTTATTTTGACTTTCCCTGTTTTTATTTGCATCCTGATGTGTTTGTGTGAGGAAGTTCCTGCCTTCCTATTATACAGAACAGCCTTGAGCAAGGTAATCTTGAATTTGTCACCTGCTCATCAGCGTCTTGACGTGCCACTTCCCCCCACAGGGAAATTTGCTGTTTTCCGAGATAGTATTCATCTCATTCACTGTCAGAGGGCAGTTTCATCCCATCTAATTTCCTTCTGAGCCATTTGTAATGCCTTGTAAAATAAACGTCAGGCTGGACCAGTGAACACGCATGGAACTCCTTCTTATCAAGTCAGGCCTTCTCAAGGGGGAAGTCAGGGAGAGGAGAAAAATGGCGGACATTTCAACTGCAGCCCCTGATCGTGTTTGACAATCTCCTCCTCTGGGTGCCTCTGTAACTTCATCCCACTCAATGAGAGATGAGGAAAAGTTCCTTCAAGCCTACAGCCTGCTCATTCACATGATCAATTCCTCACATCTTGGGAATCAGGAGCATCTCAAGGACTTTCATATGCTTTCTCATTTGTGGAACATGGTGTGCAACCAGATGCAAACACTCTTACATTGCTACACGGGAACACCCCACCAACATGATCAATACATCCACTGAGGTGTGTGTAACATACACCACACATAGTGCCCCCAAGCTAATTTGTTATCTCCTCACCACTCCTCAAATGGCTGTTTTAATGAGCTCGGGTGGGGAATGATTTGCATCAGGTCTAAACCTTTCTGGCCACCCAACACCCATCTACATTATTATTTATTTTCCTTTCGGCCACAGTCACCAAAAATTGGTAGGGTTTTGGAGGGGCAGGAAAATTTGCACTTGGGGCTGGATGTTAATAGGGAGATCCCTTGTTGCCTTTATCACATTGAGTTATTTATTGGGGGGCCTATGTTTGGGAAATATCCTGAAGCAACATGAAACAATGTGCTGATCTTCACAAGGCTGGGGGGGGGTGTTCAGGTATTTGACAATAGCCATGGTGACCAAGCGAGAGATCAGAATACAGTGGTACCTCGGGTTAAGTACTTAATTTGTTCCGGAGGTCCGTTCTTAACCTGAAGCACCACTTTAGCTAATGGGGCCTGTTCTCATCCTGAAACAAAGTTCTTAACCCGAGGTACTATTTCTGGGTTAGCGGAATCGTAACCTGAAGCGTATGTAACCCGAGGTACCACTGTATACTAGATAATGTTATTCTAGGCTGCATCAACGGAAGTAATAGCAATACTGCTGCTGTATTCTGCCTTGGTCAAACCACACCTGGAATACTGTGTCTAGTTCTGGCACCACAGTTTAAGAAGGGCATTGACAAGCTGGAACGTGTGCAGAGGAGGGTGGCCAAGATTATCAAGGATCTAGACACCAAGCCTTATGAGGAACTGTTAAGGGATTTGGATATGTTTAGCCTGGAAAACGGGAGACTGAGAGGAGATATGATTTTTGTTGTTGTTGTTGTTGCTGCTGCTGCTGCTGCTGCTGTTAAGTCGTTTAGTCGTGTCCGACTCTTCGTGACCCCATGGACCAGAGCATGCCAGGCACTCCTGTCTTTCACTGCCTCCCGCAGTTTGGTCAAACTCATGCTGGTAGCTTCGAGAACACTGTCCAACCATCTCATCCTCTGTTGTCCCCTTCTCCTTGTGCCCTCCATCTTTCCCAACATCAGGCTCTTTTCCAGGGACCCAGCTTCAAATATCTAAAGGGCTGTCACATGGGAAATAGGTCTAGCTTGTTTTCTTCTGCTCTGGAGAGCTGGAACTGAACCAATGGCTTCAAGTTACAAGAAAGGAGATTCTGGCAGAACATCAGGAAGAACTTTCTGACACTAAGAGCCGTTTGACCGTGGAACAGACTTCCACGAGAGGTGGTGGACTCTCCTTCCTTGGAGGTTTTTAAGCAGAGGTTGGATGGCCATCTGTCATGAATGCTTTAGCTGAGATTCCTGCACCACAGGGTGTTGGACTAGATGACCCTCGGGGTCCCTTCCAACTCTACAGTTCTATGATTCTATGATCTAATAAAATTACTTCTCATTTCCCCATTTGACCGCAGCTTTTATAGCCTGGACACTTGAGATCCTAAATCAGTTTGCTATCGATTCCTGTCTGTTCTCAAAGCCTGGAAGCATCCAAGACTCAGCACATTAGTTAGCAATTAGCTAAGCTTGTTCCAAGTCATTAAAAAGTTCACCGCAAACAATTAAGATGTCTGGACAAACAGGTTTTTATCCTAAAACCTATGAATGGAAAATCAGCTTTGCAGCCCCAAAGATCCATTCTGATTACTGTCACGCTCTGACTTGCAGCCCTTCTGAACATCAAACTGCAATGATTGCCTCTTCAAAGTGTGTATTAACAATGAAAAGGTAGCTTTTTGGAAACATATTTTTTCTATATTAAATCTGCCTTAAACAATATATTTAGCAATAGTCTTCAGTGAAAAGAAATACTCATTCCTCTTCTGTGTGATCAGAATCCACTCTCAGAATATGCTCTGGCAATATGCTATTTTATCTTGGCTGGATTCAGTCAAAATCATAGCTGGTGCTTGTCCTCTCATTGGAAGATTATTTAGCTGGTTAATGCAATGCTTTGTCCACTTCCACATCTGTATCTCTGACATTTGCAAGATGTACATTTACGACACTTTTATTTTAATTGGATTTTCCTTCTGCAATACAAATCCCCCATATAAAATGGTGCTGGTATCTGTGTCTCCTTTGAAAAGTAGTACGTCTATTCCCAGTCCTCACCCTTGATTGTAAGAAGGGCTTATTAAAACATAGTTTGCATATCCTTGGAAGTTAAGCCTGTGAAATAGTCCTTCTAAAGTTTCATTTTCATATCTCCGTTGTTAATTTGGAATGCAATTCCACTTCAAATGCTATGTAGAATGGTCAATTACAGAGACCCGATTTGAATGAGGATTCCCCCTTTTATATTGCCACCAAATTGGCTGGCCTATATTTCTCCCGGTAGCTGCAAAGTGACTCCTGAGATGGTTTAATTCATCCGAAATCATTATTTATATTTGCTATTTACATGTAATCGTAATTAATATATTAATTAACACATACACATTTTGAATTGACATTATTACACCTGCTGAAGACACAGCTCTTTACCCGGCCTTTGAAACCTGAGATCATAGAATCATAGAATTGTAGAGTCGAAAATGACCCTTTTTCAGCAGGGGGACAGTCCACTGTCCCTCAGACCTTGTGGGGGGCCAGACTATATTTTTTTGGGGGGGGAATGAACAATTTCCTGTGCCCCACAAATAACCCAGAGATGCATCTTAAATAAAAGCACACATTCTACTCATGTAAAAACACACTGATTCCCGGACCATCCATGGGCCAGATTTAGAAGGCGATTGGGCCGGATTAGGCCCCCAGGCCTTAGTTTGCCTACCCATGATCTAGTCCAATGCAGGAATATGCAGCTGTCCTATAGGGGAACAAACCTGTAACCTTGGTGTTAATAGCACCGTGTTCTAACCAGCTGAGCTATCATTGGATGTTTTTAAAGATTTGCCCTATTCCCTTTATAATAATTTTTTTTGAGTGATTTCAATTTGTATTTTTAATTTATGTGTGGTGTAGTAGTTAGAGTGCTGGACTAGTACCTAGGAAACCAGAATTCCAGTTTCTTGCTGGGTGAACTTGGGCCACTCACTCTCTTTCAGTCTAACCTACCTCACTAGGGAAGACTAAAGTAAAAATGCAATGGGCTTCTGTTAATAACTTGTGAATCAAAACTGTTCATAAGGTTGTGGGTTTAGTTTACATTTTGTCAATTCATATATTTTTGAAACAATTTAGTGCATTTTTATAATTATAGTATATGATAGATGCCGTATTGGTGATGTTCTATTACGTATCTGTTATTTATTGTTTGTAAACCACTTTGGGATTTGTTTGAATGGAAATGAATTGCAGGCGTTGGCATCCAACTCAACAATTCTATGATCCTAGGAAAAGTGGCTTAGAAATATAATAAATCAAATCAAATCTTTTTAAAAAATTGTTTTAGATTCCATGTAAAACTTATTTATCTATCTGATCAGTTTACATCAGTTTGTAATAGCCAACTTTTTGATCCCAGTTACTTTTCTTTATCACGTCTGCAGATGGTCGGGATTTATTTCCTTCTTTGTTGTTGTTCCGCCTAAGCCACTGAGCATTACAAAACGCCATAGCGGTGCGCGACACCACTAAAAATCCGACAAGTAACATCAGATAAAAAAACCAAAACCTTTCTCCAAAGAGAAATCTGATACTGCTTACTGTGTTACTGCTGGTATGTGTTTATGGCTTTTTATTTTACAATCTGTCACTCTTGTTTTATCTCAGGCTGTCTCTGAGTACACTTTGGGTAGACAGGCAGGGCAGAAAATGCCTAAAATAAATATATTAATACACGACCGTTCCTCAAACATCAAACAAGGTTATGTATTTTTAATGCAAATCAGCATCTAACCTGGGGGGAAAGCCCTGAATGGCTTCAGGCCCTGAAATTTGAAGGACCACCTCTTCCTACAAGATGTTGCCTATCAGGTGTGGTTACTCGGGCTCTGCACCGGATTCAGCTGAAGCATGGATACCAAACTGAATAGGGTCGATTTGGTGGAGGGGAGGACATGGGCTATATCTGGCAGACACACCGATGGTGACAGGTTACCAGGTAGATAGTACTGCTGAAGCATTTTCTGATACCACACTGTACAGGTGCATTCAAGGCAAGCTGAATTTCATTGCTAGATGTGCTTTCATTGCTAGATGTGCTAGATGTTCAAGACCTGACATAGCTGTAAGCACTAACCTGCTTAGCAGACATGCCAACAATCCTACTGTTCAGGATTGGAAAGCTCTGAAGCGCATAGCCCGCTATTTGAAAGGGACTTTGCACTACAGGTCAGTAGACTGGAGGTCTTGAAATCTTTGCAGATGCTAGTTTTGGAAGTGACACCATGGATGGTACAAGCACTTCTGGAGTATGCTACATGTACAACCACTGTCCGTTTGACTGGCTATGCAAGAAGCAGACGACAGTATGCCTAAGTTCCTGTGAAGCAGAACTCAATGCTCTGTCATTTTCACTCATGGATTGTGAATGGTTGTTGCAACTGTTTCAGGACATCAGAGTTTCTGTGAAATGTCCTATACAAGTGTATCAAGATCCTGCTTGGCTTTGCTGAACTCAGAGAGTTGCAAGCAAAGAACCAAGTACTTGCAGATTAAGCTACATCGTGCAAGAGAGTGTATTCAGAAAGGACTCATTCAGGTGTCCTACATGCCAGGAAATGAAATTCCTGTTGATCTGTTGTCTAAGGTTGTTAACAGAGAACAACTTATGGTTTTTGTACAGAGGTTGCCATTGGGTTGAACCACAGGTACTACAGGTTACACGGAAAGGGGGAGGATGTTAGGATATTTCCGTTCCTCCTTAAAAAGGGAGTAGGCTGTTGTGTGTCACAAGCCTGCGTACTTCCTCCTCACAGGGAGTTTCTGTTTTGTATATAGCTTTTGTTTCTGTCTGTTGCCTCAACACGAAGGCAGGCAGTCATGTGTTTCTTCTGTTCTGACCAACGTTGAATAAAGCTGTAATTATGCTCTTCTGGGTGCATCTTCTGTTGCGGAGTTTGCTGAAAAGGGCGTGCCTGAGTCTTGGAATGTGTCTGAGGCTCGTGTCGCTAATTGACTGATGCTGTTCTACGGGAGATCGATGGAACGTCTTGAGACGACATATAGGTTGCATGATGGCCTATGTCTCCCTGGCAATAGCCCAACACTGAGTTGGGTCAAGACAGCCCTGAGTCAGGTCCAGACACCCAGGGGTGAATCACTGGGCAGGAAGGAGAGGCAAGAGACCCATTTTGGAAGGGGGGGTTCAGTCCTAGGTGTTACTTGGGTTGTAGGACAAGGCCTTTTCAAGAGTCCCAACTGTGGAACTCCCTCCCTCTTCGATGTCCTGTAGAAAAGCAGTTAGACATTTTTGTTCCCCTGCACTTTTTAATGCTCTTTCATTTTACCTCATTATGGTTTTTATTTATCTGTTTTTGGCTTTGAAAACTCCTTTTAATTGCTTTGATATTTGATTCTTATTTGACATTTGAAATTATATCGGGAGCTCTTTTTGGAACCAAAAGGCAGCGTGGAAATATTTTATGATTAAAAGAGAGAAGTCAGCTTAAAAAGAAAAAACCCTCCCAAACCAACAGTCACATTGAACAACTAAAATAAGTATTTGACAGTCTGTAGACCCAAAATGACTTGTACTGATGGTGTTGTTTGACAAAGCCATTCCAGGCACTAGAGCAGATATCTGCAACATTTGGGAAGCCTGGGATACATTTGGAAGTCTGTCATGAACACTTCAAAATGCCCATTTCACGGAAGAAAAACTGGTGAGGCCCTGTCAATCAGGCAATCACCTACCCCCCCCCAAAATAAAACAGAGACAAAAAACCAATCCCCTGTCAAAGAAGGGGAAAAAACAGTCAACCCTCCCAATCAAAAATCAACAAAATACACAACTAAAGAAAATGGGAAAAGGGCTACAATTTATTTGTCTGTTTCATAAAATGTGTACACTGTTTGATTGTTAAGAAGAAAAGCCTCAAAGCAGTTTACAGGGGGGGGGGGACCTATAAAATTATCAATAGTACGATACGATATGATAATCTTTATTGTCATTGTCCCATACAGAACAACAAAATTGAAAAAAAATCTACATAAGACATTCAAAACTAACAAGCCTGCTATCCCAGCTATCCCAACCTGGTTAGCCCCCTAAAAACTCAGATACGCCATTTAAAAAATACAATATATTCCCATAGAGACTCCTTACACTGCGTTTAAAACCAAAATCGCATTTGGATAGAAACTGTTTCTCAGGCAGCTAGTCCTAGTCTTTATAACCCTGTACCTTTTTCCAGAAGGCAGAAGCTGAAAGAGATCATTTCCGGGGTGCGCACTGTCCTGCGCTATCTCTGCAGCTTTCTTATGGCACCTGGAAGCATAGATTTGATCCAAGGTGGGAAGAGTGCACCCAATTATTCTCTCCGCAGTCTTTACAACCCTGGACAGCATTGTTTTTTCCCTGACCATGCAGCTCCCAAACCACACACACAGACCATAAGTTAATACACTCTCAACAGTACAATGGTAAAATGCCATCAACAGGTCCTTTGAGAGATTGTTTTTCCGGAGGATTCTCAGAAAATATAACCTCTGCTGTGCTCTCTTCATCGGGTCTTTGCTATTTTCTCCCCAGGTTAGGTCATCTCTCAACTCCATTCCCAGAAATCGAAACTAAAAACAGATTAAAACTTGCATCAACTTTCTAAACATCTGGATAGTCTTGTCTCAGCAAACATGCTTTTAGGCCGCCTGCCTCATATCAGTAGGCAGGGAGTTTCAAAGTGGAGGTAATGTAAAGGTAAAGGGACCCCTGACCATTAGGTCCAGTCGTGGATGACTCTGGGGTTGCGGTCATCATCTTGCTTTATTGGCCGAGGGAGCCGGCGTACAGCTTCCAGGTCATGTGGCCAGCATGACTAAGCCGCTTTTGGCGAACCAGAACTGCACACGGAAACGGCGTTTACCTTCCCGCCGGAGCGGTACCCATTTATCTAGTTGCACTTTGACGTGCTTTCGAACTGCTAGGTTGGCAGGAGCTGGGACTGAGCAACGGGAGCTCACCCCGTTGTAGGGATTCGAACTGCTGACCTTCTGATTGGCAAGCCCAAGGCTCAGTGGTTTAACCCACAGCACCACCCGCATCCCACACTAAAAGCTTGAGTTCTATGTGGCACCGGATACAGTGCCAGTACATGGAGGGGGTTGTTTGAGGGATCTCTCGTGCTCACAGTCACTCGACTGAGGACTCCAGAACTCGAGTCTTTGTAGTAAAACCCTTAACTTTACCTTGCCTATGTTACATTGCAGGGTGACATCAATCATAAGGCAGGGTGCTTAATGCGTGGGAAGGGCAATTTACCACGTGATGCCAATTGTTTATTTATGCATGTTTAAAATTGTTGCCCACTTCAAACCTTCAGCATCATACAAATTTGCTTAAATGGCAGTGTGTTCTGCGCATGAATGCCAATTAGATATGAACGAAGGTTTCTGCGGTCCACAGCGAATGTTCTCTTCTCTCTCTTTTCTTTTTGCTCATCAGCGGAGGGAGGGGAAGCAGAGTCGTTCAGCTGACACAACCGAAAATCTGCTAATTTCTCCTTTGACGCAAGTCTCTGCTTGCATACCAATGGAATCTGATTATTTAAATATAAATAACCACGTTTCCCCCGGACTCAGTTCTGTTGAAGTTAACGGGCGACTCTGAAGGGATTTGCATCGCCGACGAATTTGGCCCATTAACTTAACATTCAGGCAACATCTTTCCGAAAAGAAATAAGTGCTGCACAGATGTGACGGCTTGAGCTTTGTCGAAGCCTTCTGCAGCAAGAGAAACACCATATGCAGGAGAGGGGGGTAGAAATAGGCTTGTGTGGGTGGAGGAGCAAAAGGGTCTCCCAGTGGGAGAAATTTGAGAACAACACAATGAACAGTCCTTCTTGGGAAAGGGGGGGGGGAGTTAGCTTGTATTACAACTTGCCTTCTTTAACTTGGCGGCTCGATTGTTACTCTGCCAATTTCCCATTAGTTTCCCACTTGTCAAGTTTGAAAATCTTCAAGGCTTATGAAAAATCCATAGCCATGGGAAAAAGGCAAGGCACCGATAATGTATGCAATCTAATTTAACGTTCTTGCAGAATATTGAGGAGCAGTGCTTTGCTCATATTTCAGAAGTGCAGAATGTGTGTGTGTGAGTGAGAGAGAGAGAGAGTGAGTGAGAGAGAGAGAGAGAGAGAGAGAGATATATTCCCTTTGAGTAGAACTTATCTCTTCAGCACAAACAGTGGGTAGCATTCCATTTTACACAGAGTAGGCCCACTGAAATTAGTTAGGCCCATTAATTTCAGTGGGCCTACCTTGAACAAAACTTAGTTGAAGACCACCCTTTATCTTGCATTTAATGTGCCAGGGATGTCTTGTTTAATGAAAATGGGATTGGGTGGGGGGTGGGTGTGGGTGTGAATTTAACCCTTTCCTCCTCTATGCCTGCTGTGATCAACATCATTATCGGTGATGGTGCGATGGTGGGGCAGCAAGGGAGAAACAGGTTGTGGTGTTTGGGGGAAATGGGGGCCTTTGGATGACTGAGGGTGGTGGAGCTGAATGCAGAAAAGTCACAAGGGGAAATGGGATGGGATATAGGAGTGAAGCGGTAAGGGGGATCAAGGCTATGGAAAGTTCTGAAGTTAAACATGAGAAACAACCAGGAGTGGACAGGAGGGTACTTCAGGAGTATACAGTGGTACCTCTGGTTAAGAACTTAATTCGTTCCGGAGATCCGTTCTTAACCTGAAACCGTTCTTAACCTGAGGTACCACTTTAGCTAATGGGGCCTCCCGCTGCCACTGCACGATTTCTGTTCTCAGCCTGAGGTAAAGTTCTTAACCCTTGGTACTACTTCCGGGTTAGTGGAGTCTGTAACCTGAAGTGTTTGTAACCTGAGGTGTTTGTAACCCAAGGTACCACTGTAATATAATACAATCCTACTCAAATGGAATTCTGCTCATGCAATGGGACTTCCCCTTCCTCTTCTTCTCCTGTGGGCCCCACACACCTGCTCTGGAGGGTTTCCTAGTCTTCTGGAGCAGATTACCTCTGTAGAATTCCTTCCTTCCTTCCTTCTCAAAACACACATTTTCCAACACCCAGTTGCAAGTAAGTCAATGTACATGTAACTGAAATGATCACACATTCTCTCTTGGGATGGGCTGTGGCTCAGTGCTAAGACCTTTTCATGAGCTTTTCGTGTAGAAGATCCTAGGTTCAACCTTTGGGATCTCCAGGCAGGAAAATAATGATAATAATACTGGGCTAAATGAGAAAGCGACCTTACTGAAGAATTGATCAAATCAAAAACGAAGTAGATAAAAGTTAGCACGTAGTTTTAAAGTATAGAATATCAAAACTGTCCATGAAAATGTATTTATTGAATGCACTCCCAGCAAAATGCGGCTTTCATTCCTTTTGGTACATAGTAGTCAAGCTCTGTCCAGCTTCCTGACTCAAGCATTGTATTTCTCAACAGTGAAGCAAGTCACAATTATGTTTTCCTGTCAACAGCAGCAGAGAAAAGCAGGAGAATAAATTTCTCTGAAAATATTTTCATTTTTGAACTCTGCATTATTTTCTTGAGTTCTTAGTATTTCAGACCACCTGGCCTTCTGCAGCTTTACACCAAAACATCTCCATATCTTCATATCTCAAACTTGATCTCCATCCTTGATGACGTGACAACGATAATTATTGTTTTATATGACGGGAAACACTCAACCAGCCCCTTCAGTGGAAGCCCTGCTCAATAACTTCTGCTTGCACAATGGGGCTTTCCTCACCTTCCTCATGCCCCCCCACCTCTCCAAAATTGGTCCAGAGGGGCAGGAGAACCCCCCAGAACAGTGCATGGCATTAGGACAGTAAGGATCTTCCATCTGGCAATGTTTGCACAGATTGAATGATTGGAGGGTTGTTAAATTTCACCCCGTGATTTTTTAATGGCCTAACAATCTACAAGCTCATAGATCAGGTGGCTATATATTTTTTCGACCTCCTGATGCAAGCAATTACAAGGGATGATGTCATCTATTCTGTACCCCCATTGTACTAGGGTGGATTTGTGGATGCCAGAATCGCTTCTGTAATTCAGCTTGGATATAAGCACATGACCATTTGCATATTACCTGCTTGCACATGACCACTCCTTAAGCCCACCCGGCATTCTCCAGCCTCTGGTGCAGCCAATGGTAGTGGACACACCCTCTTCTCATTTTATTGCATGCAACTGGATCATGCAAGGTGACATCCTATGGAATCGAAGGGCATCCCAAAGGTAATATTGGAGGCTGTCTCGCAAGCCCTGAGCATCATGGTCCCTAGATGATGTGATCATCTTGTCCCACTTTGTGAAATGGCTTCCAGATCTTCTTGGGATGTCATGCCTGGTGACCATCTCACATGTGTCAAGCTTTCAGTGTAGTGAATGGACAGTGTTGTTCCAACCCACTGGCTGCAGTGGATGTGATCAGGGAACATGAGGCAGCCTTCCAGAGTATCCCTGGAATGTGCTGGGAAGCCGTAGGAACTAGCCAAATTAACGCCCGGCATTGACTGCTCACAGTGCTTGATATCCCAGGCATTTTCAGAAGGGGTTAGAATCCATGTATGTGTGTAAGGAGCTGGGTCCTGTTCTCACTGCAAAATCCAAGCAGCACATGGCATTTCATCTTGGGTTCTACCTGATGTGAAATTCAAGGGCACTCCTGGCGTTTCCTAACTTTCCTAACTTACATTGCTCTGGACTTGCTGGCACCAGTTTGACACAAGATGGACAGCAGTGATTTAGATAGAATTGCCACCTCTTAACCTGCCCAATTGTCAATGCTCCAGCCATTGCCCATGAGAGTAGGGCAAAACAAGGAGGGCCATGGCATAATTGCAGTTGCCCCCAAATTTCAACTTTACTTTTTGAAGTAAAGTTTCAAAGCAAATGCAGAGATTTTAAAAAGAGTTTGAAAGAAACTTTGGAGAAGGAGGTGCAGTCTGCTCATTCCTACATGTTTCTCAAAGAAAACATCAATGGGCGTTAGTAATCAAAATAGACGGAGGGTGTCTTTTGCTAGATGATGGGTATAGCACATTATTTCTTTCTTTATTACCTGCCCTTCACCCTAAGCCCCCAGGTGCTCCCCTATGCATGGATTACAAATGGATTACTCATAAGGAATTCAGTTTATGTGACAGGTGTACTCATATGCACAAAGAAATTAGATAGCCCTCTTCTATTATCTCAGCAGAAACAAATTATCTCTCGGCTTGTGTCAGTAACTCATCTGAAGCAAGCAGTGAGTTTCCACTCCTTTCAAAGCACAGCATGATTTTTGACAGCAGGAACCCTCACCCTGCCTTTTAGATACCGAGTTTAGATCCTTTCAGGAGATCTCTGCCTAACATTTATATCTAAAATGGCATCTGACAGTCCTCAGAGTCATTCTCTTTTCTGTGCCACTGGATTAGTTGAGAAAGCAAAATAAGCCACACAGGATTTGTAGAATTTTAGAGGGATAAATTTCCTTCTCCATTTTCTAATGGTGCCATAGGAAATTGTTATTATAAAACCTGAACTCATGCAGGAAAGCCTGGCAAAAAGATCCTTTGCTCTAGTAAACGACTTCGGGGCTTATCATATAACAATAACGGCTTTAACATTAAGTCTGGAAGAGCACATTACAAATTGACTATAGGAAGCTGTGAATTCCATTATTTGCAATCAAATCAGGTTTCAATCCATTTAAAGTCCCACTGCCTTTTGTAGTTAAGTCTGGAAATTTAGGTTGCCTGTGTAGAAGTGGGCTAAGCTACATATTACACATAAACCTAGGTCCTGTGGGCCATATGATGTGTAGTTTGGTGCCACTTACATTTTTAGACTGTCTGCGTTTCCTAATAACCCTTTTTAAAAAAACACGAAAAGCTGCTTTGTAATGGAGAGATTAGGGACTGAGCTGCTTAACCCTTGGAATTTTGGGCACTTGAAAAATACTTTTCTGTTTAAGCAAGTTATACTTTGCCTATTTACTGAACTTACTTTTTACTTTGTGGCAGCTGTTTGCCTTAAAGACCGCATTATTTTGGTTTATGAACTCTTTTTCTTGATGGTTGTGTAAACTTCTTTCTGACCACCCCTGGAGCATAGCTGTCTATCCATATTGGAAATAGATAAATAATAAATAAGTATTGCAGTCCTAATCTATTTGAGAACTTGCTTAAAGGACATAATAATGTTACAATCTGTACATATCGTTGGACCTTCAGCCTTCAAAAGATTAGTGAAGGACTATAGGTCAGCCTGCTGCAAGTCTGCATTGGATTATAAGCTTTTTCTAGGCTTACCAAAGTCTTCCAAAAGCAACCCTCTCTGTAAGGAGAAAATAGCTTTTCTCCTTCCCTTGGTTATAAGATGTTACTTTGGATGAATACTTCTAATATGACATAATGCGCACCAAGGTTTCTAGACTCGTTTGCATTTGAAAGCTGTGAGCCCTTTTGCAGAGAGGGGGGAGAATGATCCATCAGCTTGATGTCAGAACTATTTACTGTGATATAAAAGGCTTGCTCTGCTCCATTACAATAGCTTAAAATATTGGAGACCTAGCCAAGGCTCTGCTGAGCAACACAAAGCCTAATCACATCATTTCTGTGTGCCTGTACAACTTCTGCAGTAGCCTGGATTCTGGTAATCATTGAAGAATCACTTATTATCCATTGGAGGTCCAAGGTCTTACGCTGGAAGGATATTGTCTCGTTATTGTCTGGGAGATGTATAAAGGGGTGATAATGCATTTATGCAGTTGGGGAATCACAGTTGTTGGTAATGATTAACATCTCTGGGGAATGCTTGTTATTCTTAATGAAGAGCTGTCTCAATAGTGGTTGTGCTTTGCTTTGGACAAAGCAAGTCTCCCAAGATGACAATTTTTGAAATTCAGGATCAAAAAAGAATGGTTGCATTTCCACCTCACCTTGCTTCATCCAGGAAGACTGTTTCATTGGGAGCTGACTTTGCAGTCAGTCATAGATTTATGCCATTAGGTGTGGATCCAGAGAAAACTTGGCAAAGCTGCAATGTTTAACCGATTAATCAAATGAAATTGTTCATTAAAGATCTTCCAAACAATTAAAAATGCTGTTCCTCCCCTCAGTTAATTGAGTGCCATTTTAGAGGAGCATCTCATCTTCTTCACTTTTGGTTGGGTCTCCTATTATCTCCCCTTACTCTTCCCCAACACATTTGGGTGAAAAGGAAAGTAAGATTGATGAAGGCACAGAAGGTCAGAGTTCTCTCACATGCCTGTTCTGTGACCAGTCCTTACCACAACTCTTACAGAAGTTAATTTAGCAAGGGGAAATTAAGTTTATCTCCCCATGGCCACAAAGCCAAGATTTTGCACAGGGTATTTCCAAACAGAGTGTGAGGCTCCGCTCTTTAACAGTTTTATTTGGGGTTAGGCCCCCTTGAAATCAGTAGGATTTCCATCACAGAACCATGATGCAGAAATGATATTTTCCCCCAGGCCAATTCAGAACTGCTGGTTGTCAATATATGTTGAGATAAGCAGATTTAACATGAACCAACCAATCGGCCAACTAAAACTCACACAATTAATCAGCTCAGATTTATTCAGCTGGGTGACAGATCTATAATAAAGATATCATGTCTTCCCCAAGCAAGGGTATTTCATACGAAACAATCCTTTGTGAATAAACATGGCATGTGTTTTTTTGGTTCATACTATTTGAAATGCAGGACACATTAAAACACTTCCTTCCTTCAAACTAAATATCAGGGTTCAGAATGAAGCTCAATCCAATGGAACAATGGAAAAAATTCAGGTAGGTCATGGGAGCATCATTCTCCCCATTGCCTATCCCAATATCTGGTATTTACAGGTATTTTCATCTTAAGATGAAAGTTCCATTTAGCCATCATGTCTAATAGTCATTTATAGAGCCATTCAAATTCACTGCTATCACCACAACATGAGTCCTGTCTGGCTAGTTCTTATGAAATACCATTACTTATTCAAGAGATAGCTTGGACTTGACTTCTTCTATCAGTAAACTCTACACTTGAGTAAATATTTATATATGTTAGATGAACTGTTAATTATTGATAATTACTATTTTTAGTGCTACGCTGCACTGATATCATACATCTTATTATGTCTAGATTTTGATTTTTCTGTGAACTGTTTTGAGCACCAATTTACTTGTGGGAAATGTGGTATGTTGTTGTTGCTGTTATATTTATACCCCACCCATCTGGCTGGGTTGTCCTATAATAAAATGACAATGGCAATATGATAAATTTGTAATGTTAGTTCTTCTGTGTGCAGTAAGATAACTGTGAAATTACATTTATGCTGTTGCAGTGGAGTGGAGAACATATGCCCCACCATCCCAATGTTGCTGGATTACAATTCCCACCATTCCTGACCAGTGGTAATGCTGATTGAGGCTGATGGGAGCTGAAGTCAAACAACATCTGGAGGGCCCTTTTGAACAAGTCTAGTTTAAAGCAAAAGAACCCTATGAAGTGAGAGCAGGGGTCCTTCTGCAGTGGCCCCTCTGCATTTGACACCTGGGCAACAGACCAAGCAGGCACACACATCACCTGGTCATAGTCGGGGGATCAGTGGGTGCATTTCCTCCCTGTTTTGACAATGCATAAATTGCCACCCTTATGGAAAAACATGTCTCATACACCCTGGTTCTGTGACTGCTGAATTCACATGCCATGCATTATTAGTTTTGAATGACGCAGTGAACCTTCAAGCAATCTGTAATGTGTATGGGTTGCTCGTGCGTAAGTTGTCGCCTCTCCAGGCTTTGTTGCCTTGCTAAACCTTTCAGTCTGGGCAGCCCTTCACTTCGTGGCTGCCTCAGTCGCTAGCAGAATCCGTCAGTGGGCGTTTCTTAAATCTTTTCCAACATAAAAGTTGTTTGACACCCAGTCTCCTCCTACTCTCTCTGCGCGGAAGTCTTCTGCGCAGGGTGGGCGTGGGTAGCGGAGGACCCGTGCTCTCCCCGCTGGTGTCCAGTGAAGAGTCCTGGAGCCCTCTCGCCGATTCCCCCATCAGCCCCTCTTTTTCCCTGGTGTTGCGCTGATTAGCTTCCCCATCTGCAGAGCTGCCTCTCTCCCTGCTGGGCCCTTCTCCAGCATCATTTGAGAGCCTTCCCTCCGCCTCTAGCTCCGATGTCAGTTCCCTGACACAATCCATGATCCGGTGCTTGTTCATGACAATAAACAGGGTTTGTTGTGAAACAGCAGGTCACGCCCAGTTACGAGTCAGCCTGGTTAAAAGAATTCACCGGCTATATTGGACTAGGTGGAAATGACCGAGTGCACCCCTTTTATATTCCAGTCCGCATTCTATGTAGTATAGCAGAAAAACCGACTGGGAGCACCTCGCTCCGAGGCGACCTTTTGGCAAACCTGACAAGTTTGCATTGACTTGGCCGAGGTTTTTTTTATAGCGTAAGCTTTAAAAAGCTCGTAAATGACACCCAGCTTTTATAAGGCACGCATCTTGCTTCAGTGAAATAACGTTATTAAGACAGGTTGAGCTGACTGTAAATTTTGTCAAGGAAAGACAGCTTTGGTGGTAGAAATAGGATACGTCTGCTAAATGGAATTTCTCCAATTAGGAGGATTAGTAGGTCATTTTGCGCGTTGATTTAAACGGACCTGCTAGAATAGGAAATAGAGTTGGGGAGTTCATTGAGACTCTGATGTAGCATGTAATGAGAAAGGAAAGCTACAGGACCTAATGGAAAACAAAAGCTTTTTCCTTTGGCTCGTTGCAGCTCCGGTTCCCCTTTGAATTATGTTTCCATTAGCTTCAGGCAGTTCCTGGAGTAGTGAAGCCCTCGCTTCCAATTCATTCATAAGCTGATCCATTGTGGGCCTAATGGCCACAGAGGATGCTCTGTGCAAGATTTGCTGCAGCAGCCTTTTTATTTTATTTATTTTATTTTATATATATAATTTTTATTAGTTTTTTTAACATATCATTTTCAACAGTAATTAAACATACTTTTACATCTTATTCAAATTTTTGACTTCCATCAATCCTGTCATAAATTTTCCAATCTAATCTCTCAGTATGCATTTCCTATCTTCCCTATTACATTTCAAACTCATAACCAATATCTTTTTCTACTTTGTAACACTTCGTATATTTCTCCTTACAAAACTTCTTGTAGTTCTACTAGCGTAATTTGTTGATTACAGTTACTCTTCAAATAATTCATATACTTCTTCCAATCTTCTGTAAATCTCTGGTCCCGCAGGTTTCGAATCCTTCCTGTCATTTTGTCCAATTCTGCATAGTCCATTAATTTCGTCTGCCATTCTTCTTTCGTCGGAATTTCTTCTTGTTTCTATTTCTGGGCTAACAATACTTTATTTTATTTTTATTTTTTAATGATTCCACGGGAGACCAAAGTGTGGAGCAAACAAACTCTACTTAACATTGTGCAGCTTGGGCTGTGGCTGCTGACGTCAGTATGGCTACTGCCACGTTAGGTTTCAGATCTCCCTTGGGAAGGTTCCCTTGGGACTGCTTCCATCCATACACCTACTCAACGAACATTTCCCTTCCTGCTATCATGGCCTTCTTTATTAAAAAGCTGTTGAAACCTTTTGAGTTTCAACAAAAAGGCTGGGATGCAAGTAGCCTATACATGCACACTGGGCTGTATCCAGTGTTACTACTTAAAAGGAGATGAGTTAGTCACACCCATCGATTCTAATGGGTCAGCTTAGAGTTTTGCGATGGTAGTACCATTTTTGCTGCAGAACCATTGATCAGAAATAGAATGATTTTTGCCAATGATTCTGGAAGGGTGCAGCACATCACTCCGGTGTGGCAGGAGAGGGTGGCAAGTGGGGTGGGAAGATTCAAGGACAATCAAAGAAACATTTAAACATTATATATACACACACAAGCAGATACAACATCCCTGCCTCCTTTCAAGAGCATTGGCCATTCTTCTACGGTTCTCCATGACATATTGTTGTGAACAGGGATTTCCAACTCTGACAAATATGAAAGATCAAAAAAGAGAAGGGATTCTTTGCATCGACGAGGAGATGAGAGTTTGTCTCAGATTCAATCTACTTGCAATAGCTTACCCAGCTATTGTGCCCACACCTCTTATTAAGGTTGTATACATACTTAAGGTACATATGTAAGAGGCTCGTTTATAAATATATTTTGGGAATGATTCATGTTCTCATGTAGCTGCATTTTTTATACTTCCTGGATGGTCTCATGATCATATTATAAAGTAGTCGTGTTCTGTGTTATAAATCAAGCACTTCCAGGAGTAGTTTCTTTTTGTTTTCCGATGTATTTCTTATTGATAAAAAAATTGGTGTGGCGCAAGCAAATTTTTATTCTGAAAGTGTGGCCCAGAGAAAAAAGTTTGAGAACCACTGATTTATGCCTTTCTTTTGCTATGGCTTTATCGTAAAAGAAGTTTTACAAATGATTGTTATTTACCCTGAATCTAAAGATTTTGCAAGTGTATGACCTACCTAGATAATCACTTACAAACCATTGACTTGGTTAAAAATTGACGCAGTCAGTTTGTTGATAGACATGCCCTTTTCTCCCATCAATTTCATTGAGGCTTCTGTCATTCAACACAGGAGAAAATCACTTGCATATAAAGTCTTGCTGAAATCCTCAATAACATTGTGTCTTCCTCCCCTAGCCCCTAGCTCAAATTCGATTCTTAGTTCTATCTCAAGGGAACGGGAAGCAAAACATTAAAATAATATGGGAGAGGTGAGCAATCACTCCCTTTCCCCTGTCCAATTCCTCATTATGCACGACCCAGATTATTTTACAAGGGATAGCAAGCCAGGAAGAGATGTCAGATTGCTTCTGTTCTAATCAGTTCACCAAGTCTCTTTCTTACACATCACTTACTTGTGGGCTGCAGAAGAAGGCAGCCAGCATGCCTACATTGGCTGGCATGGCCTCCTTCCATGTACACAATTAAAGGTATTTGGCAGCCCAGCAAAATGCTGAAAATACATACCTTCTGGTGGTTTTCAGAGCCAGCATTAATTAGGGAGGGTAACCTATCGTTTTACTATGCAAAAGTTAAGTTACAAAGCATTATTAGGAGCTTAGTAAGCTGCTTTATGGGACGTGGGTGGCGCTGTGGGTTAAACCACAGAGCCTAGGGCTTGCTGATCAGAAGGTCGGTGGTTTGAATCCCCGCAACGCGGTGAACTCCCATTGTTCGGTCCCAGCTCCTGCCCACCTAGCAGTTCGAAAGCACAAAGTGCAAGTAGATAAATAGGTACCGCTCCGGCGGGAAGGTAAATGGCGTTTCCGTGCACTGCTGTGGTTCGCCAGAAGCGGCTTAGTCATGCTGGCCACATGACCCAGAAGCTGTACGCCGGCTTCCTCGGCCAATAAAGCAAGATGATGACCGCAACCCCAGAGTCATCCACGACTGGACCCTTTACCTTTACCTAAGCTGCTTTATACTGAGTAAGATCCTTGGGTCTATCTAGCTGTCTACACTGACCGTCAGGATTTGAGGCATAGAGTCTCTCCCCAGCTCTACTTGGAGATGCTGGGGATTAAACCTAGGACCTTCTGCATTCAAAGCAGATGTCCTGCCAGTGAGCTACAGCTCTAAGGAGACAGTTTACATACCTTCTCTGAGAACAGGGCTACCAGCTTGCACTGACCTGCCATGCAGCTTTGAGTCTGGGACTCACTCCGCAGGTCCATCACGTGGAAGAGGTGGTAATTCTCTCTCCCAACTAGAAGAAGAAGATTTGATATCCCGCTTTATCACTACCCGAAGGAGTCTCAAAGCGGCTAACATTCTCCTTTCCCTTCCTCCCCCACAACAAACACTCTGTGAGGTGAGTGGGGCTGAGAGGCTTCACAGAAGTGTGACTGGCCCAAGGTCACCCAGTAGCTGCATGTGGAGGAGCGGCGACGTGAACCCAGTTCACCAGATTACGAGACTACCATTCTTAACCACTGCACCACACTGGCTCTCCACAAAGATCACACTGGCTAGACACAAAGATATGCAGCAGGCATATATTTCTGCAATAGAAAATGCGAGTGGGACGTGCAAGAAAATGTTGCAGTACATCCTCAGTTCCTAAGAGGAGTGTTCCTGTTCAGGGTGCCTGCCTGCCTGCCTGCCAACAAGCCATTTCAGCTGTTGCCGGGTTTTCCATCAGCCATGCCACCCATCAGTCAGCATTCTGAGGCAACTGAGCATGCTCAGTCCTCAGTGGGCTGTTTTGGTGTCCTCCAGGATATGATAAACTGGGAGGGAATCAAGCAGGCCATTCCATTCCCCAACCAATTTGAGTTCTCCCTGTGTGTTTTTCTTTTCCAGTGGATAGTCAACATTGCACTGCCACCAAGCACACAACTGGACATAGGAGAATTAGAAAAGGTTCAGAAATGGGCAACAAAGGTTACAAAATTAGAGCCTTTTTATTTTAGAGCAAAGGCCAGTGAGAGACAAAATGATAGAAGCATATAAAATTAGGCCTGGCATGGAGAAAGTGAGCTATTTTGAGGGGACAGTTGCTCCCTTAAGTTAAAAAAAAAAAGTTTTGTTGTAATTCTGTAACCTTGGAATTTGCCCAGCATGCTGACAGGAGTAGAGGAAGCTGTCTTATACAGAGTCAGACCATTGGGCTATCTGTCTCAGTATTGTCTACCCTGACTGACAGGAGCTGTCCAAGATTTCAGGCAGGGTTCGCTCCCTTCCCTACCTGGAGATACCAACAGATTGAACCTGGGGTGTTTTGCATGCAAGGCAAATAATCTAAAAGGTAAAGGTAAAGGACCCCTGGATGGTTAAGTCCAGTCAAAGGCGACTATGGGGTTGCGGTGCTCATCTCGCCTTTAGGCCAAGGGAACCGGTGTTTGTCCGCAGACAGCTTTCCGGGTCATGTGGCCAGCATAACCAAACTGCTTCTGGCGCAACAGGACACCATGACAGAAACCAGAGTGCACGGAAACGCCATTTACCTTCCCGCCACAGCAGTACCTATTCATCTACTTGCACTGGTGTGCTTTCAATCTGCTAGGTTGGCAGGAGCTGGGACAGAGCAATGGGAGCTCACCCCGTTGCGGGGATTCGAACTGCCAACCTTCTGATCAGCAAGTTCAAGAGGCTCAGTGGTTTAGACCACAGCACCACCCACATCCCTGCAGATAATCTACCTAAAGCAAATAAGATGTTAAAATGGTTCCTGAACAGTATCACTGGAGGCTGCAGGTCTTAGTCTTAATTGCTGAATGCTTCCCCATTTGGGAGGTGGGGGAGCATTACATGTACATACAAAGCTGGCATATCGGGGAGAAAGCAATACTATGTTTATTCTCATTGGCACCCAGTTTTCTATGTGCAAGGAGGTATGCATTATGCACTGAGCTATGAGATTCTCACCTGCAGCCTGCAGTTATACAGCTGAAGAGCAGCTGACAATGACCAGGGAGGCGTTAACATTTCAGAGCTACGGAAAGTATAACTTAAAATGGACTGGCCTGCTAGATGCTTGAGTAGCACTCAGTCCAGTTAGGTGATCAATCCCTGACCAGGTCCTCCCCTTTCAACAGGTTAGTTTGAGAGACCTAAGATTAAAGAATGGTCTGTGTTGAGATCTGGGGGTTTTAAAGCTCCTTTAAAGCTTGGCAAGTGCATCTTTGACCTGCTGTTTCAGCCCCATAAAAAAAGCTTTAAATAATTGACCCAATCTTTTAAAATAGACTGGAAAGATGGATGGAGGTAGATTGTGAAGGAGATAAATGGCCATGGTAGAACATTCATTTTTTATAACACTGATATGTTCGTGCTCTGAAAGATTTATCCGTGTCTAGGATGATTTGAAGCAGGATATCATCGATTACTCTTAACCACAGATTTAGTTTTCAAAGAAACCTACATACCAAGATAGACAATTTGTAAGGCTGCCAACCAAATAAAGAAACTTGGGGTGGTTAAGCATCATTCTAACTGATTGATTCTATTTAAATAAATTTGCATAGCTTCAACTCCTCAATACAAGTCTCTTGCTGAGAAGTAAAACTGCCACACATGGTTGGAAGGGAAGATTATCTATTACAGTTACATCGGGAGAGCCATAGTAGCCCCCGAAAAATTCACAACTGTGCCGTTCTATTTCAGTCTTAACAATTAATCAAAGTGTCAGTTATGGAATGAATTAGTTAAAGCCCTAGGAATTTGGAATGGTTGACAGTAAAAATGCCATGTTTAGAATCAGTGCTATTTTTCTAGAAAAAAAGGTGATGGAACTGAGTTTGAGTGAACATCAGGGAGGAATCTGTGGTCCTTCAGATGTCGCTGGATTGAGGCTCATTTGTGTCCGAGCCAGCACAGTCCAGTGGTCAGAATAGTGGGAGTTGGTAGGCCAGCATTTTCTGGAGAACCAATGGCTGGGCATCCCTTTTACATCACATTCTAAAAGGACCAGCACTGTTTGATAAATGTAAGTAGTTTAGAAGTGGGTATCTTTGTTCAAGTCTGGGGAAATGATGCAGCAGCATCTACGTATAGTAGGAACTTAAAATACTTCTTGTTGAACTTAATACGCTGGACGTCTGCATCAGAGTTTCAGCCGATGTGCTGGGCTATGCCAAATATTTTCCAGTTTTGATTTTGGGGTAGAAACTGTTGGGAAACTGTACGTGCAGCTACTCACACAGAGTCAATTAAGGTTTGGCAGACAGCCAGAAGGCAATCTGAAGGAGTAAGTCTGCCTGGAGATAACAGAGACACGGAGACCGCTCCCTGATTGGTCAAGCTCTCTCAAGGGAGTGATAATTAATGGCCTACTAACTGTTGGTTCAGTGTTCAGAGTTTGAGTTCAGAGTTCTGTGTCAGTGTGGGAGTTGAGAGTCGTGTCAGAGAGAGCTAGCATAAGATCCGTGTTCTGTTCCTGTAAATAGTCCACTGTATATAATAAACACCTAACTACAAGTTCCTGGTTCCTGCTTTGTCTATCCTGTCGCCAATTGCTTCCGTGGATTCTGCATGTACTCTGCTAGGTCTGGCTAAGGTCCTGCAACTAGTCAGAAAGTTGCGAAACACCAATAGGTTTTGCCAATAGAAACTTGCAATATTTAGTGAGTGGGCATATTTTGCCCCCCCAAAAGACTGTCCGAAATAACTACCCACACACCTAAACTTTGCAAATATTCATCTTTATCCTGTAAGGTGCTAGTTGTCCTTTGGCTGCTGCATCCAGTCTGAGTAACCCACATGATGACATCACCGTAGGCAAGTGAGGACATTTGAGAGAGAAGGCAAATGATGGCAATGGAAGGGGACCTCCAAGCTGAAGGATTGGCTCTGAATCTGACAATACAATAATAAAAGAAGAAAAGGAAAACATAACTCAGAGTGCTGAAAACTGCCCAAAAGTGAATTAATATCTGGCTGTGCTGAAATGTTTCTAAATTAACAGTGAGTTGCTTTTGATATTTTTATTTTCCTGGGGAAGATTGAGGAGATGGAAGAGAAGAGAGACCGTTTGAACTTAAGCTGTTAGAGAATCTTCATACACCACCCTCCTATTTAGACCTTTCTTTGAAATAAATTCAACGGAACAATTCTCTGCTGTGTTGGATTCTGATAGATTTGGTTTCTGCCTGTGTGAAATGCAGTCATTTATGCAAATGCCTTATAGAGTGGTTGATGAATTGTGCTTCAAACCAAGCTAAATCATTTTGCTATGCAAATAAAATCAATTTTGCAGCACTTACCCAAATTACGGCAATGAATTTGGTTTTGCTGGTGTAATTCTGAAAGCTGGCAAAGGGATAGGATTCTGCTAATTCGTCGGTGTACTGTTTACATGCAAATGGGCAGGTTAAGAAGCCAGCGCTTAAATTTAGGGCTGCTGCAGTTGGGCTTAAAAATTATTATTTTTCCCTCTAGTCAGCACCATTCATTTGGCCATCCATCACGGCCGAATGTTTGGAGGAGCAGGTGGGAACTGGAGGTCCAGAGAAGGGGGCAAAGCCATAAAATAAGGTGCAGGCAATCCTGATTTGGCAGGGACAATCCATAGCTCTGGATGCTGGCAGAGTTGTTCCAGGTCATTTTGCTGCCCAAGGCAAAGCAGCAAATGGTTCTCGTCCCCTGAGTCACAATAGTCTTCAGTAGGCACCTAAAAGACAACAGAGAGCCAGTGTGGTGTAGTGGTTAAGAGTGGTAGTCTCGTAATCTGGTGAACCGGGTTCGATTCCCTGCTCCTCAACATGCAGCTGCTGGGTGACCTTGGGCCAGTCACACTTCTTTGAAGTCTCTCAGCCCCACTCACCTCACAGAGTGTTTGTTGTGGGGGAGGAAGGGAAAGGAGAATGTTAGCCGCTTTGAGACTCCTTAAAGGGAGTGAAAGGCGGGATATCAAATCCAAACTCTTCCTCTTCTTCTTCAGTGATGATCCCTGTCTAATATTTAATGGGGACTCCAAAGGGTTCCACAAGATTAAACCCGATTGACATTTGCGTACTTGCAACATGAAATGGTAGCTTCAGTTGCGTAGACTCCATGTGTCCATTTCAGTGACCGGACAAATCTGGGACCACTCTGCCACTGACTGCCATCAAGCTCCACTGTATTCTTTTATTT